ACCAAGCCAGCTTAATGGGCTGGGCCACCTTCACCTCAGCTAGGATAACAACAGACACATAAGCACAAACAAGGCTGTGCTTTAGCCAAGACCTTTCACCTTCCATTTGTCATAAGCTAATTGTACAAATACTCGGTTTGCTTCAGCTGTTGTAAGACACTGTCCCTGCCAGGGCCATTGCCACACCAGTCTTTTCTGGGCACCAGCTGTGTATTCCTGTCCCTTCCTCCATTCTGCTGATGGCACAACAGCAGTTTCTGACTACTCTTTATCGGTTACTCTTCAGGCAGGCCAGCATGCCGATGATGTGAGGGAGCCGACAGAAAGAAAGGACACAGCAAGGCACAGCCTCTTCACAGTGTTTTTGTGCTTATTTGACATAACAGTTAAGCAACAGTATTCCATCCACCACTTCAACATGAACAAATTTCTACTTAATCCAACATTTAACTTACGTTGATCATGTGAAAGATGTGTATCTACGCTGAGAGTGGATGTTGCAGTAAGCGAGCTGCTGTAACTGGATGGCACCAAAAGATCTGCCAAAGCTGGGATGGTCCTGAAGAGCCACACTAAGATCACGGCAACATTGCTGACAAACTTCCATGCATTTTTACACGTGAAGTAATAGAAAACTGAGCTCCAAGGGCTGAACAGGATGTTCCATGCTGAAGTGAAAATTGGTTGTCTTCAACTACTTGTAAGGCCACATCAGCGCCAAAGCCTAACATCCAACTGACATGCCAAGCCTTCCTAACATGGAGAATCCTGCAGTGCCCAGGACACACCAGTATTCCTGTGGCACCCTACCCTGTTGAGCGGACAGCAGAGGGGAAATAAAGCAGCAAGCAGCCTAATCTGTCTAGAAGCTTACAGAACATCCAGCCTGGAGAACAAAACTGCAATACTCCCATACTTCCCAAGGTGCTTGTAAAACACAATTGTTAATACTTCCATGCTTATGTCCATTGTTAAACTTGACCAGATACAGCTGAATGAGAGACAAGCCAAAAAAAAGAAAAAGGGTTTCAAGTATTTCCAAAACAGATCTTTTACTTGGAGGATATTCCAGCTCTTCTGCCCAGAGGCATGACCGGGATAACCTCTAAAATCATCCAAAGCCAATAATAATCCCAGGACATCCCAGATTCAGGAGCAATTCAACCACAGCACTAACCCAAACTTTCAAATCCACATTTGAGACCAAGTCAAGACCTTAGCTAATAATTTGAGGAAACCACTAATGAAGATTATAAACTCTAGTAAACAAAACATTGCATCAGCTTTTTTTGTTTGTTTTTAAAAAGTCATAGTCACCTAATAGAGACAGATATTGCTGCTTTCAGAGTTATATTATAGGTGTTCTTGCTGCTGCTACATAGCCTTTGGTGATGGCTACAACAGCTGTGCTGAACAGTAAAGCGAAGGTATTTTTTTTCCCAAAATTAGAAATATACCATTTCCAAGAATGGGAGCAAAAGACAAAAGGTAATGAAAAATACTGCTGAAGAAAGGTTTAATTAAAAAAATCCGGAATTCAACAGTGCCTAAATCTTTATTTTTCATAACCTACATATTTTTTCAAATTAGACAGTTTTACATTTTATGACACAAAAGGAAACTTAAATTACTGATAGTTTACATGTAAGCTTGATTCCAGTCTTAATGGAAGAAGAACAAAAACAAAAACCCTCAAGAAGGCTCCCATATTACACTTCTATTTCATGAATTGGCAGCTGTTAGGTCTCCTTAGAAATCTTCGATTGTCTGCTGCTATTAGTGTAATAGGTTACAAAGCACATAAAACTCCCTAACTGTAGCTAGCTGAAGGAGATACAGAGATAGGTATGCACCATTACAGTCAGCTGTTGCTCCTGATACACTGCATCACACTCAGACAAGGGCCTTTCTATGCCAGCTGCTGAAGTCTTTGAAGGATAACGCAGCAATGTAAAAAATTTGCCACTGCTCACAGATTTCTACACGGTGAAATGACAGTGCCATGGTGGGGGACTGATCTGAAACAACATTAAGTTTTAAAAGCAATTTTTTTTTTTTTTTTTTAAATTCCTGGAAGAAGAGTCTCAGATCTCATTTTGGCTTGTTTTCAAAATGAAAAGCATCACCACACAATCCCGCAAGGTAAACGCCAATTTTAATTACTGTATCCCTAAACCTTTAACTCGGCTATTGCTTTTGGGAGGTTTTTAATTTTAAAAGCCACATTTTAATCTATGTATCGTAGCAACAGTCTGCATGCAACTTCACAACTCTACTCTGAAAACTCCATTTTGTCATTGAATGGGAAAAAAAAAACACCTCAAAGTAAAATGCAGTAAGGGGAAGTTGTACATTACACAGCTATTTGGCGTGTCACTTTTCTTCTTTTTTAAAAAAAAGCTATAAAAACCACATCAGAGGAAGGTTTAAACTTTCAATGCAACAGACTGTTGCTGGGTAAGCAGTAATTACAGTGTATTGACCTAGCACAAATGGCAGCAGAATACATTAGAACAGCACAACACATCCTGCTGGTCTCAACTTACTACCTTAGGTACTAGTTGAGTATCATGACTAGCTGTACACAGTCGCTGTAAGGAACCACTTGTGATTGTTCGTAGCTGGTAAGCCTTTCACTTGCAGCAGACAAACAAAATGAATCATACAGCTGGCCTAAACCATACACACATCTAGCTACCTTTTTCACTGCCACTGGGGAAAGGAGAAGCATGTTAAAATCCAACAACAGAACTAGCTGAGCAGTTTTGGTGATGACGTCATAGGACTATCTCCTCCCACATTATTCACAAAGTACGCTTTTTAAACAAGAAAAATCAACAGATTCCAGCATGCCCTATTTTGACCAGTTCTGCAGCATACAAGAGGCTGGATTTAAAAGGTCAACTAGTTACCAATTGATGCTTGTAATAGGAAATTCATCAGGAGTCAACTTACTATAGTTACTTTACAGTTCTATGAATCTTACACTAAGGAAAGCACTGATATTCTTGAAAGCAGACAAGTAAGCTTTAGTGTATATTTTTGTAGCAGTCTCAAGTTTTTTCCAATTAAATTTGATTTTATTAATCACTTAAAATTACAGTTTGACTGCTGAAATTCACTATTTACATTGCAGAACACTTTCAAATTGGTTAAATGGCTTGTTTTTAGAGGGACTTAGGAAAACGTTTGAGGGCTTTCAAATAAGACTTTCGATCCATTTCCCTTTTGCAGTGAAGAGGCAGAGTCAGTTCAGCACACCAGAATAAAATAAGAAAAAGAAAAAACAACAAATTAAAGTAATATTCAAACCACAACATTTAGTTTATCTACATCCAGCTCAACAGCAACATTTATAATATCAATAATTTTTATCAGATTTTTTCTTTAGGGTACCTTTTTATATGTTCTGATTATTTACAACTGTACAAGCAAAGCACACACTTCCAAGTGCACATATTTAATACAGTATTGACTATTTGCATTTACAGGTTTTTCAACAATCTGAAAAAGATCAACTGTTTAAGATCTTTAACGTATATTACAAAAACTGCTGCTAGTTCCTGTACTACAGTATGTTTACCCAGTAAGACCAGTGACAATAGATACATACTGTAACTGAGTAATTCTGTATTCCACTCATGCTAACCCTCCATGGGGTCAGACCTCATTAACTCTAAGCTGTCTTGTACAAAAGTTAAGGCAAAGTCATTTTCAAGTTTAAATAAAATTCAAGTCTTTAAATATTGGATGGAAATAATTCTTTAAAAAAATCAGTTGTTTAAATAAACATTTTTGTGGAATAAACTGTACTGTCATAGTCGGCAGGAATGAATTTTGTCTGAAGTTCCTGCAGTTTAAACACTTAAAGAAAACTTTAGGCATTTTAAAACAAAAATAATTTATATTCAACTTTATTAGAAACTTGCTAATTTAGTGCATCCTTGTCCTTCAGAAAGCGCATCACTTCTAAAGTAAATAAGTGTGAGAAACCTCATCCCAGAGGTAAATATCAGGGATCTCTTCCTCCACCACACAAAACAAACACCATTATCTCACCTCTTGAAAAAATTTAAATCTGTATGCCAATGCTTGTAGTTACAGGAAGACGTCAACACAAGGCTGACTAAGATATGAACTCTTTCAAAGAGCACTTGGGGCAAAGTTTAAAAAAAAAGTCTACACAGAGCACAGGGGTAACCAGAACATACAGCGCTGACTCAGTTAACTCCCTTACAAGCACAGGGAAGCTAAGGTTATCACAAGAAAGCTACAGAGCTTTCTCCTGATGACATCCACTAACAGGCTTCACCACCATAGAAGCTCACAGACTTAATTCTTTCTATTGACAATGTGCTTTGTATTTGCAAATTATAACATCAGTTTTATTCTGGAGTGAGAAGATGGTTACTTGCTTGCAGTAAGTCAAAAAAGGAAATATTTTAGAAAGACTGCTATGGTGCTCTGTAGGATTCATTTTGTGTGTGCAAAACATCCAAAAAAGATTAATTTTTTAAAAACGCTAGAAACAACTACTTGTTTAACCTAAAAGTGCAAGTTCATTTGCTGACATTTAGTACAGCAGCCCAATAAAAAAAAAATCAAGGTCACATACTACTTCGTAAAATATATCTACTTCCTTGCACTCTACACACTAGCTGCCGTTATCATTCTTTTGGACACTTTAGATATGTACTTGCAGACCAGTTTATTAAAAATATTGCAGCAGCACGTTTCCGCTTAACAGTTTAGAAAAAACTCACTATACAGAGCTTGCACTCACACAGCCACAGAGAGGCTTAATAAAAAGTTGATTTTTTTTTAAAGATAAATATTTTACATCTTGAAAAAAAATAATCACACTAAGCTTCACCTCCAATTAAGCACCAACCTAAATGTAAGGTTCAGAACAACTATCCAGAAATATCCAGAAAAAATAGAATGTTTGTTCAAGAGGGGAAAAAGTATTCCACAGAAAAATAACTTTCAGGCATTTATATGCCTAGTATCACTGCAAGCTCCTAACCAGCAACTCATTCTCAGGTATCTTAGTGGGAACATGGGTTTAATTTGTGGGAAGCAGACCTCTTTTCAAATCCCTCCCAGTTGTTAGTTTCACTGAGGAGATTTTGGAGGGGTACTCTGTTCTTTATTTAAGCGTTTGCCAACGGCTGGAGGGGATGATCTGCGTCCTGACTGTCTCCTCTGGTCTTTGGGTTGTCCAGGATGTGACTTTGCAGGAGGAGGTTCTCTGTTTTTCTCTATTGTTTCTGTGGTCTTTCTTTCTTCTTTCCCACATGCTACAGTGTTTGGCTTCTGTTCTTTCTGGGGTTGCAATGTAGGAGGATCCTTAGTTGTTCTCTGGCAGATTTCTGCATAACTAGGTTTTCTCAGTTCCTGTGAAATTGAAAGCAGACAGGACAGCAGAATTAAAGCATCCTGAGGAAAAATAGTTTACTTTTATGAACAAAAAAGGTAAAGTCTTTGTCCCAAAAGCCTGCTGTGCTAAAATATACAGATGATGGTTTGAGTGATGAAGTTTACAGAAGCTGTACAGACAATAAGTTTCACGATAAAATGCAAAACAGTATGCCAGAAAAATGGGGAACTATGATAGGGCAAAATACTTCTGATTCCAGGAAACTAAACGAGCTGAAAGACAATGAATACTCTGGTTTAAATATCAACAGATGTAGCCTTTACCTCAAAGATACTACCAAGAAGAGAACTCAGATAAAGAGTTACCATTCACCAAGTTACCTTGAATTCTTTTGCACTGTTAATTGCATAATTTTATCATGCAAGTAATCATGAGACCACCAACATGCAAATTTAAGGATGCTGGGCTCATGTGACTAAGCAACACTGGGAAGCAAAGGAAGCAATATTCTGTTAAATGCAAACGGGATCATTAAGAGAAAGTGAAGTAATAAGGTCACTTACTATGGCAGCCCCATTGACTTGTACCGATTTACATGCGGTGCTGAGTGTGGAAGAAGAAAGCCTTTCCGTACTCTGTATCTCTCTCTGCTGTTTATCCACAACCTTGGATTCCCTGTAAGAATCGAGTAGGAAGCAAGGTTCATGAAAGGTGAAATTTCAGGACAGATAAGTGATCTAATAATGAGTCTAAAACTTTGAGTATGACTATAAGAACTTATAGCTGTAATTTGCCCAGCACATTATGACTAACATCGCATTTAAAAATGCTACCAAATTAAGAAAATATATTCCTGTGGAACTTGACACTACCTGTAATTTGTGACATTCTGATAGCATTTGGTTATTCAGTTACCTTACTCCCTTATACTCAAACACCTCAATTTGATTTGCAGGTTCTAAAAAAATTCTTACTGAAAACTAACTTTATTGTATGGACAACAGCACTGCTCAGAGGATCGTGGGTTTACTCTCTGTGCTTCAAAGCTATCTAAATACAAGATAGTAAGGTATTCATTAAACTTTTAAATACTTGCAGGCTGAAACAACACTAAACTTTTGTCTGCTGTATGACTACTATGACTGAATTGCTATTATGATACTGTTGATAAATCAAGCTTTATTGCCTTTACTACAAGTACAATAGACAACAAAATATTATTTCTTTCATTGATTGAGATTTTAATAGCTATTTACAGCCTTCTGGTGAGAGAAAACGCAACATGATTCAGAGCAGGATAATTATAGCCATGTAATTAAGTGCTTACTCAGAAGACTGGGATGGCGAAGGAGACCTTTCAAACGTCCTGGGCAATGTAGAAGAAACTGGCAACAATGGCTCTCGAGGAACTCCCGACGGAATAGTGTTTGTACTTGCATCCACATTAATGTTCTGAAGGAGGAAAAAAAGGCACAGAAAGGCAATCATAATATCCAATTAATATGGTTTGCCTGAAAATTAACACAATGAGGAAACAGTTTACATGTTAATTTATAAGGCTAAATTAACTATAGGAAGATATAGAATGATCCAATAAAGGTACTGTAACAAGTTTTTTCCTTTAAAATTATTTAGAAACAGACAAATCACACATTGTGGCTCATTCCCAAAAATTTGGAAGCTTAGCTCCCTTTAAGATATATGTGGATGACTAAATCACTTCTTTCAACCTGGGAATTTTGTACCTGCTGGTGACAAAGTAGGCTTTGTGTCAGTTCACCTAACCACAGTTAGCCTATTAAGACAGAAGTCTCCTAGGGTTATGCACCATGAACTGTCTTCTTCAAAGCTCTAACTCTGCATCATCCCAATAGCTGGTGCTAAAAAACTCTAACCTTAAAAAAAAAAGTTTTTGCAAACTAGGATATGACCCTCATTTAAAAGGAGTTATGTTCTTCATATTCTGTTGGAAATCAGCCAGCACAGATTATTGCAGTAGATCTGAGCCTAATCTTACTCGAAGTAAAACCATAAAAGGTGGATGTTTAGAAATAAAAGAACCACTTCTATAGTTTTACTCACTATAATAGTGTGTACAAAGGCTTGAAATTGCAAGTTGCTGAGCGTTCAGGCCCAAGTTCATCAAAACTTGTAGGTACATGGTTAAGCATGAATAGCTTCAAGTCAAGCAGATGTGCAAGCGCTGTTCCCAGCCCAAAACATTCAGCCCCTGATCTGACAGCGCTGCAGCTCCCTAGTTAGACAATGTTGGATGATTAACACCTGCCATTACCCCGAGGTACATCTAGAAGAGCACTACAAAGCAAAGAGCACAAAGCTATGATGACTGGATAACAACTGTCAGAAACTACACAACCTAAGTCCACTCAGCTTCTGTACACTCGACTTGTCCATCTATAAAACAAGAGTAGCACTGTGCAACTCTGCTTCAGCGCTTTGTAACTCTACAGCAGGTGACATGAAAAAACACTGAGACTGAGCTGAAAAGCAGCCTGTATACATTGGCAAGATTCTAATGTTAACTCAAACACCTTTGTATTAGAACACAACTGCTCTTTGCAGCCAGTTGCTGTTATCTTATTAATGCCAACAAGGAAAGACAGCGCAGTCCCCCACACAATGGTACAGACTAACTCATGCAAGCCAGAAAAGGAAATTGGGAAATCAAAGGAAGCTTTTAAATGTGACAGTATATCGCACCATTGTAAAAACTCTGTGCCTGACCATATTAAGACTGCCTTTATAGGGCAGAAGTGCAAGCTCTTTACAATAGGTACAGTGCAAAGCTAGTACTAGATTTGTAATGGGAGGAGCAATGGCTTTTCAGCAGCAGTATCAGTAGTGAGCGCTGGAATTGTATTTAAAACCTGCAATATGATAGCCAAAACCCACTTCAGGAATAATAGAGGTAAAATACTTTAAAACCAGATAAATCTTGTCCAAGATTACAATCTGGACTACTGGCTGACAGTAAGTGCTCTTATCATGGCACAGCATGTCCAGCACATTCCCCCTAAATGCAACCCTGGAATGTAGTTGTCCCTATTACCACTTGCAGGAGACATGTAGACTTCTATGGCCTAGACTGTTGCATAGAGCACAGGGTTATATGAGTCTTGATGGAGGAGAATATACTGTCACTCACACATGGCATGAAATCTAAGAATGAAATCTATGAACAGCTACTGAACGTTAATTTTCAACTGCATGTCTACTACATCAACAGAGCAGCAGTTGCCAAATCATTCTGGTATATTTTTAACTTTCCAAGCAATATGACAAGATAACACTGGGATCCAGCTGGTTTTGGTAACAGTTCTTGTTCCAGTTATGATGCCTAGTGTACTGAGATTAGTAGGCAGCTTCTTTATTTTTCTGTGCTTAGAAGTTCATCTTTGTCACTTTAAAGGGTTTTACACACAACTCAGAAGCCTGACTTTCAAACAGGAAGAAAATTTATCATCTATTTTTCCACCTGAGTCTATCAAAAAGCCTGAGGCAATTACAAAAGGCTAAGAGCATATTTTCTAATCTCTGCTATTAACCTCTATTTACACTGGTGATCATATTTCACACCATTTCAAAGGGAATATCCAACAAATTCTAAAATATAAGTGAAGAAGGCAGCAGCACATTATTTGACAGCTGTTTTTTTTAAAAGCATTTCTCATGACCCATGTAAAACCACAAGCTTCTTCTACATATAAGCCACTGAATCTGAAAACACGAGGTATGCAATTCTTTGTTTTCCCAACAAAAGTGAAGACTGGCTACTCACTCGTTCTTTTGACGTTCCTATTACCACATTGGACAGTCTGTTTTCAAAAAGGTCTTCAGTCTTTAAATTGCCAGCAGCCCCAGGTAATGGAGGAAAGCTAGACAAACCCAATTCAAAGCTAGGAGATGGAGGCTTTGGGGGTGGTGGAGACTGTGTTTGGCCTCTCTGGAATAGAAATAACATGTTGAAGTCACTACACTGGATGACGAAAAAGAAAGACATAGGACTCTAAACTGTATTTTGCATTTGATTTGTATCTGTGAGGCCCTAGAGAGGCCTCCCCCATCCCGCTTCCCAAGAAAAACACACACTACCAATTTCCACTGTTTCCCTTAAAATACTTAACTATTATTTAAATGGGATGGCTTACGCATCCCTAAGAATTTCACATGCATAAGCTTTAGTGATACTGGTATAGTAACAAAAGTCTTCTTGATGACCCTTCCTTCAGGATGGACTCTTACATTGTTGACATAGAAAGGGAAACAGACTGGTTTAGATACCACAATATAATGAAAATACAAAGTCTGTTTACGTGCAGTTGGTAACATTCCAAGTGAAAGACAGGAGTCAACAAGAATCTTTTATCGTGTTCAGATATATTAAGAAATGTCAACACAGCATGCCTTGCATGTATTGTAGACAATAGCAATTTTCACCTAATTAATATGAATTGATACAATCACCTCATAAAAATGCAAAGATAAATGTCAAAACTATTTTTGAAACAGAATTTTTCTAACTAAATCAAAGAAGAAAAACAGTGTCCCAGGGAAACACACATCAGCGGGCTAAAAGCAACTATTCTGCACTACAGACAGCAGTTCAGGAGTTTAGAATACCACAGTTAAAGATCACTTGGAAGGACCACTTGTAAGGATTTGCAAAGCTAAATTCTATTTACACTGAAAAAATAAAAATTGCTTTTGTAATTATGCTTTAACTGGAGTTACCCATTAACTTCATCTACGTCACGTCAACAAAGAAATAACTGTTTCATGACTGAGCTCAGGCCTGCACTAAGATGATCCCTGCTGCAGAATACCAAATGCAAAGCAATCTTTGAGACAATTCCTATTCTGAAAAGGAAAATATTTATGTGTATATAGCCAAGATGGTCAATGTGAGAACAATGCTTCTGGACAGAAAGGTGTTGCTTTACTTACATTTTTTCCCCTCCTCATGAAGAGCAATAGATACAAAACCACCCCTGAGGTCTTTTCACAAATTACAGTTTATGTCAAAATAAGCATGTCAGGAGGGAAGTAGGAAAAGAATGCATACGGAGGCAAGAACAACTGCAACTCCTAGGACTGCTATTGACCCAGCATTACCTCCCAGAACATAGTTTAAGCATGCTGCAGCAATGGAGGCTGCAAACCTCCAAAAATAGAAGTGAGATGACCTGTCAAAGGGTCATGGAGAGAGACTATACTTATCCAGCTCAAACTGCAAGAGGAACAACCTCTTTTTTTTTTTTTAAGAACAGTTTTTCAAATCACAGCACTTAAGTTTTCTTAGATGGGACTGAAGTCCTGCAACAAATAACGCTTTTATATTTGTTACGAACATTTTAAGTCATACAGATGAGTCCTAAAAAAGCCCTAACATATTAAGAGACAAGTAGCATCAACATTTTAAATTGGTGAGACCAGGGAGGACTTAATTGGATTTTAAGCTGCCAACTGCATAAAATTTCTCAAGTCAACTTACTATGACAAGTTGAGTAATTGGTTTATGTCTACAGCCTCAGACACAGAGCATGAACCTTTTTCATCAGATTTTCTCATGCAAGCATGCACACTCTCTATAATTTTTCCTTGAAAAAAAAAAGACATCATCACTCCATTCAAATGCAACTGGCTGTAGGGATGTGCTATGTACACTACCTAATCACTACACCATCACACAAGAAACAGGATCCTGAATTCAATTACTTCCACAGTCTAAAGGGGTCAAAATTTAATCTATCACTTCAGAGTATGCTCCTTCCCAATCTACCCAGCTGTGGGTGTGCAAGCAGCTCTCACTTCTGTTCATGCTGCATCACGGCACTTTAGTATAGACTAAAGATTCACAGGCCAGAAGAGACAAGAAGGAACCTGGCTGCGCAGGCTGCCATTAAAGCCTGCTGCTGAGAGAAGGGAACCCTGCGTCTCCAAAGTAATGTCTACCAGTTTTACATTCAAAGTTAGAATAGCCTTTAAAGGCAGCTGAGTCAGAAGAGCCTCTCTGGCTCAGTGAGTGTGTCCTTTTGCTCCAGCCACTCACTTATACACCTAACCTGTACCATTCTCTTGGTCTTTCAAATAAAAAAATGTTGATAGGAAAACATCAAGCTAAAAATTCAAGCAGTTTTGAAAGGGCAAAAGAAAGAAGTATTGAGAATCCTACATGTAATTAGATCTCACTGAGCTTTGGAGAAGTTTGACAAGAACTAAAAGCAACCAAAGGGAAGGAGTGACTCGTGATTTTATACTTTCCAAACCTTGATGTTCCTTTATCCAAGTCCCATAAGGCTACTCAACAGCAGGAGTCTCAAATACAACGATTACAGACCTTTTAGAAAGTGTTATGAATCATGCAGTGGGGTTACTTTGCAATTGTAACATGAATACAGAAATAATCCAGTTCAACTTCAAGAACATGCAATGCGTGGCAAAAATTAATTGCAAAAAAGTGTCTGGTTTTATCAAATCAAACCTTAAGTCCTACAAAAAAATTTACATTTTCTTTCTTCTACACAATGTCTAGTCCAGCCATTTCAAGTATTAAAGCTATTTAGGTATTCAACTTGAATTTAAGTTGACTAAAACTGTAATATTTCAATAATGTTAGTATACTCTTACCAAGTGGTACTTGCAGAGGCTTTTAAGAAATAGAACTGACCACTTAATAACTAACATTCTAGCCATACATTATGACATGTGAATCTACAAAATGTTCTTCAACATTTATATGAACAATAATCAAGTTATCAAGTGTTTTGAACTTCAGCTTTGCCCCGAATGTGAACACTGGCATGCTGACAAAGTAACACTAAGATGGAAATTTTTTACTACTATAAAAGAGTTATTGTAACTTTTTACTGACTTCTGCATTAACGGACAAACTTCTCTGATACCCGAATGCAGTAAACTCATGTGAATCTAATGAGCTGCTGTCTTCAGTCAACTGTGACATACAATTGCTTGTGCAATAACTTATCTCACCTGCTACTCCACATAATATCCGTACTACTGCCTTGTTACCCTACTTTTGTTATAGATTAATATGATCATGAACACTCACTGTAAACTTGTCCTCCCTTTTCTTTCGATAACCATATGAGTTTTTCCTAAGGGAAAGAAAGTAGTTATTAGAACATTGGTTATAAATGAATGGAACACAGCTGGTGAAAACAGGAAAAATGAATTAAAATTGCTATTTCATCCATCTTCACTCTAGACAGGTTATTAAAAAAATGTTTTAGGGAAAATTTCTAGCAAGCTCTCACTAAAATAAAGGCACGGATCTTACAGAAGTCAGTATAAAAATACACTGGTTTCAAACAATTCCTGCCTTAAAAGCGTCTCACAGTGCCAGTTACATATAAGGCTTAGACAAAATCTTTCTATATCCAAAATAAAGGTTTTAGACTTTTTTTTTGTTACCTATGTAACTTTTGAAATAGGGATAACTATTTTCAACTCAGGTAATGTTCCTCCAAAACATTTTCAGTAGTTCTCCCCCCACAGCCCTGCTTCAGGTAAAGCCCCTCCAAGCAGCAGTTTAAAATTTGCAATGCCTTCCAACTCAGTTTCAATGTATTTTCTAAGTTTTCTTTTTTGACTTTGAATATTCTAAATGTATTCAATACAGAAACATGAAAATATAAATCTAAGTACTGACTATTCCTGTACATTTCTGTAGCCTACAGTTTGAACAATCTTGTTTTCTGTGTGCTTAATCATACTTTCATCCACTATAACACAATTTGTCAAATTAGATTTTGAAAAGTATTACAATCCTTGCACAAAATCCCCACTTAATTTTGCAATGATACAATACAAGTCTAATACAGGACCATCTGCAAAAGACTTATCTTCCAATTCAGTACATCACTTGAAATGTGACTTCCTCGGAGACACAAATAGCCATCATTAAACAAAGCTGCACAGTACTTTTATAAAGCAATTAGAACTGTACTGTATTTTTAAAAAATTCCAAAACAAGCCTGCTAAATTCTCACATTAACATTGGTGCCATCGATTTTCAGCCTCCCAGGTAGGGTTGTTGTTTTTTTTTCTTATTTTTAAACTGCATAACAATAGTTTTCTTAGGTGCATGTAATCCTTTTTTCTCCCTCCATACCAATCTGTCATCTTTATTGTTGTAAATGTCCAATTGGGGCAAAATTCTCATCTTTCAACTGAAAAAAATTAACAGTGAGCACTGCTACTACAGGTTCAAGTGCACAATCTACACTGTTGAACAACAGAATGGACAGAACTGCTTCATTAAAGTCAAATGAATAATGTGCAAAAACTTGCTTACAACAGACAAAGAAAGGACAGAGGATTAGATCTTATTGATGCAAATTGTTCATCAGTTGCCATTAATGATTTACATTTGCTAGCAAAGTATGCAATACCACTTCACATTTTTCTGTATTTAGGATTTTCTCTTAAGTACCTTCCAAGATTTTAGCTTTGAGGAGAGACAGTCTCAGTTTAAAATCATAATGAGAGCAGTACTAGTACCACACCTCTTTACGAAAAGTAGTTTAGAAGCACCAATAATGGGTTGTTCAGAAGACAACTACAGAGCACACTCACCTTCCTCTACCTAGTCCAGGAGACGAGTCAACACTGGTCTGTTCCATCCGTCCGGTTCCTACTTCCCTCTTGGTGTAACTCGTACTGGCATTCTGCATCCGTGTCCTGTTTTGTCCCGGCTGCCGCGTCTGTGGACTCCTGACGCCATTGATTAAACGATCAGCAGAAAAGTTGAATATTGTAGGACTGTCTAGAAGCCCAGGTCCCCTTTCTGCACTGGGTATTGTATGTCGTATATGAGACTTGCTAGGATTCCTACAAATTCAAAAGTCATTTCAACATACATACTACGTATGAGAGATCTTCTGAGGCCTACGACTACAGACAGAATTCAGAAGAAGCAAGATCTTTAGTCCTTCATTGAACATTTCATTTATAAGAATGAAAAATATTTAACAGGTCATGTGAACTATCAAAATTAACCTTTTCGCTATCTATTTTCAACTATAGCTTTACTAAAAACTACTTGAAATTGAAAATACTACATGAATAATCCTGCTGATCACGTGCCATCATTCAGAATATTTCATCTGAATACCCTAAATCATGGAACAGACAAGCTCTCAGCTTCCAGACAGTCCATTTACACTTAGAAACAGTCCATCCACTAACAGCAGCAGCACTATCTGCCCTTCGGCCTCACTTAACCTTGCATCAGGTTCAATTTCACAAGTATTCTCAAGTTAGCTGGTGTTACTAAAATAAGCAGATTAAAACCACACATGCCAGATAATAAAATAGTATGTATACTGTTAAAAGATGGTTGAACTTGCCTGTTCCTGGGAGGATATTGTCTGAGTGTAGTCAGAGGAGAAGCAGCAGGCTTGAAGGTTGGAGATGTGAACCCATTGATAAATCCGGTATTTGGAAATGGTGTTACCTAAAGAATATATCGCATGCTCGTAATTATGAACAGACTGAATACTATTTTTTCTTAAATCCATATTTTATCTCATTCTATGCAGGACAGTACTTAAAAGTGGCTCAAAAAATGCCATAGAGCATTTTTCCAGTGGCTTGTAACCAACTTATAAAATGCTATTTTTTGAGAGGAGAGCAACTACACATATTCAAGTTCTGGTAATTTTTTAAGAGGACTGAAAAACATCAAGTTCTTGGCTGTAAGTTAAGTAATGCTCCTTCTATTTCACACCATAGTATGCATGACTTCAGAGTACAGAGATACTTCTTTGTCAAAGAGTCTCTAATCTGCACAACCTATAATTGTTTTTCTTATATAATATATATGCAAATCCCACCTTAAAAAGAAAAAAAAATTATTTATAGTTCCTCATTCTACTTATCTTCCACGTGACACCTAAGTAAAGCCTAAAGAATAAGTGGATATTAAGTGGAACTCTGATTCTTTTCCCATTTTACCACCTTCTTCTACACATGAATTACTCTCTTGTTGCCCAAAGCAGCAACATTAGCAAAAGATTTCTTGAGGTGGGTGCATATCAATGTCTTGTATTAACACAGTATCTCAGCATTCAAAGTATGTTCATATTAATTTCTCCAACCTCACCAGCACAATTTCTTTTTTTCTTAAACGTATGAATGACTTTCATTTAGGAAATGTTATTACTAGCAACAGCAAATGCTTGCTTGTCTTCTCCCCCTGAAAATAACTAAAATGCAGAACAGTAAGACTTCTATGTAGCACTCCCTCCACACTTACTTAAATGATAAGAAATAGCTGGAATTAAGACTGTTTCCTATAAAGGTATCTTTAAATTTGTTTAACCTTTCTTGAAAAAGTTAAAGCAAATCACTAATCAATGAAAAATAAAATGTAACACCAGAGCTGTCATGCCAAACTTCTGTTAGTCTAACCTAGCACACATGACAGCGAATGCTACCTCAGACTCCACAAATAGGCCACAGGAGTTTAATAAAGCTATTTTAGGAACAAAGTTGCATTGAAATACTGCTTTGAAGTGCTTTCTGCTTTCATAGTTATAACTTGCTGTTAAATTCAATCAAAGCTAGTAAGCAACTACTGAACGTGAATAATGAAAAGACATTGGACATACTAAGGAAAACAGAAAACAAGTTGAACTTGTTGTTTACAAGTGCACTGGCAATATTGACCTTCTCTTTCTTTCTTTACAAGGATGGGTGACATTTTTGGAGGGAAAAAAAAAGTCATTTTCATTTTCTAATAATACCAAAAGCATCAATTTGTTTCTCCACAGAAGTCATCCAGCTCATCAAAAGTACACTTGTTTTTTTAACACAAGCAAGATACTATTAAACACTTGATACGAAGAAGTAGGTAGCTTTAGTATTTTTAGGACATGCGTTGCCATATTCTAGGTTTCAGAACTAAAACTGTGTGCCCACACTCCTGGGTGTACTTAACCTCAAATTAGACAAGAGACAAAGCACTGCTAGTGTTTATGCCAAAACGTCAAAGGAGAGCAATTCTGCTACATTTGCAGGCAAGTCTCCACATGCAAACTGCAACCCTGCCTCATGCAAATTATTCCTGTGTCATCATTCCTCGTGGTCCCTGTTCTCCTTACTAGTAATTTCTACTCAAATACAGCTCTTCCTATACGAGGTTCAAGAAACATCACAGTACATTAATGTACACAAAATGCAGCCAACCAATGACAACATGCTGCCAAACAGTGGGAGGGAAAGCTCTGACAGTTAATTTTCTGTTTTTACTATGAAAGGTATGAGATCTTTAATGCTGGCAAACTCATAACGTCTTCCCCCAAAGGCCAGGGCTAGTAAGCTTTCTGGAATACAAGACGTTCCAGGATGACATAAGGCAGATACACGCTACGCTGTGCTTGAACCTGTGGCCAATTAATTTACGTCTTCTACACCAGCGCTATCCAGCTACTTCACTATCCCACAGCAGGACTGTGCAATAGTCTTAGCTTATCTAGAGGAAGAATCACATACATTGCTGCTTAATAAGGTGGCTTTGTCCTGGAATAACATCGTTCACTATGCTACCTTGTCTCCTCTGCATTCTTCACCACCCTTAAAAAGCCTTCCCCTGCAAGAGCTCTGGCTGCATTCCCTGTGTGTGAAGTGTTTAGCACACCAACTTTTTAATTAGCTTGCTGTGCGGTACACAGGAAGTTTGCTCAAGTTTGTTCAAGGACACTTTAATCCTCTGCCAAAGAACCTTTACAAAGCTTCTAATTTTGAGGAGTGCTACCCTCATTTCTTTTAGCCACAAGTAAGAGGCATTTACAGAGGGGAGAAAGAGGTTCCACATAGGACAACCTTAATATCCCAGTCATTACAGAAAACTATATTCATGTTAGGTTTTGTAGGATAACAAAGGCAGACTAAAAGGAGCCAAGGGCATTCTGATGGGACTGTCACAATGGAGGAGGAGGTGGAAGCAGCACTGCAGGATGCACATGTCCCATTAGAGTATATAAACACTGTTAGCAAACCAGCTCTAAGGCTTACCAATAGCCACTTTAAGAAAATTTTTAAATTTAAGCAATTTAAAAGTGAATTAATTTTTTTATTAGCAAAGGTATTTTTATTTTTATTGCCAAAAAAGATGTTACTTCTGCACAAAAATGTTTGGTTTTAAGAACATGCCAGACAGGGTAACTCAGCATGTTACCCTAGAACTTATTTTCCTGATGGACGATTAAGATACGAAGTTTTCCTTATTTATCTGATTCCATTAAGTTTATTCAGTACATATCAGAATTGCTTTTTCTGGTATTCACGAACATATTCTGAAGATTTAATTTCTAAACAGGCTTTTAACCATTACTAAAAGAAGTCTTTAGCAAAGATGTCTTTTGGTCATGCTTAATTAATAATCTTTAGTAAAGAACCGCCTCAAAAACTAAAGGTTAAGAAGAGAACCACATTGCAATCTGAGACCAGACGCAATTTTCAAGTACTTAATCTTGTACAGCATGTGAAGGAAGAATTTTGAGGAACTGTTTTTCAACAAGAATCAGTATCTTAAACTCCCCTCTTCAGGATACTTATGCTTCCTACACCTCAAGACTTCACAAGAAAATAACACCAACTTTGAAAATAATACAACTGTTTCATAATCAAGAGACTTACCAATGCAGGGTCAAGGTAGCTGTGTGTGGCTGACCAGGTCTGTGGGCCAATCAAGCTGTACAATGGAAACTGCTGATGTGGACTGTATACTGGAGGTAAGTAAAACGATGTTGTGTAACGCTGCTGCGTGTAGAGGTTCATATCCAGAGGTCTGTATCCATTCTTTGGCAAAAATGTGTTTATAGCTATTGCCTTTGCTTTTATCCTTGCCTGTGAAGGAGATTAGATTATTACAGCAGCCTTTCAAATTAAATCAGGATGGTCCAAACTAGCAGCTCTCCACCTTTTACTGGACACTTGTCAGTCACTGCTTTCTCCTTCAAGGAAGGTAGGAAGAGCTGAATGCTTCCCTGTTGGCCTGATGCTAGGATGGGCATACTGCTCCCAGAAAGGAGGAAAAGGAGAAGTGTCATATGCTACATTTCAAAACCCATCTCCAGGTCAAACAGCTGCTGAGATTGGACTATTTAAATTTACATTAGAAAACACAGCCCAACAAAAACCACAACATATACACAAATGCCCCCCAAACCCATAAAGATCTATTTACCTTAATTGGTTTTCCTTGGAAAGTTTTCACTTCTTCTCTAAGGTATCTGTAAGCCTTTAAAAAAGTAATTATAAAATTTGTCAAACATAATTTAAACAAAGGAAACCTAAGTTTTGACAGGCTAAGCCTAACAATAATTCTTGAAGTGTCTGCTAATGTTAGACTAAAGAAAACAATCATATGTAATCTGCATTCAGCAAGATTTAAATTATCATTGCAGAAGCGCTTCAGAAGCATTAAAACAAGATTTTAGTTCTTCCAACTGAAGCATTTCCATGTGTCATCAAAAATATAAATATTCTTAGTACAAAAACTTAATAAGGTGGCTTTGTCCTGGAATAATATCGTTCCCATCGCTTTGGCCAGGAAGCCAGGACATGCGAACAAGATAAAACTCTTACAGGGTTATGTTTTATGGTACTGATAACTGAGTATAGCTAAGGGGAAGCATTACTGTTTTTAAAAGTTTGGGTATTTTTCAATTGTTACACATTTGTAATACAGGTTACGACCCATCTATCCACCCTTATCCCACCCTTGTTTACTGTTATATTCTAAAATGCTTAAAAAAAAATAGTGTTACCTGTTGTGCATCGGCTTCTGATTCAAATGTGATGAACCAATTGTCGTTATAGGCAAACTCACAGTTGATAAATTTAGGCAAATTATCTCCTTTGAAAAGTGCTTCAACCTCCTAAGGAAAGTGGTTTTGAGAAGAAGGGAGAGAAAAAGGTGGGAGAAAAAGACGGATGGACAGAAGAAAACATGAATTTAAAGCACAGAACTCTGGAACTCCAAAAAAGATAGATAAAAAGCACTTTTGGGTTTACAAAACAGAATGGAGAACTTCAGAACAACTGCAGTAGTGTTAGCTCTTAACAATCTCCCCACTAGCTAGAACGATTAAAAACAAGCACCGTCTAAGGCCATACTGCAAGTAGAAGTTGCCTGGTCCCTTTAATTCAGGGAAGATAAGCTACTCAGGTCACACAGAGAGACACTTGCATTTGACATCAAGTATAGGAAAATACCTGTTCCTCCCTGTCCCCAAAACCAGGGAGCCACACAAAACCCAGTGTACACTGCATAGAAGAACCCCGCCCTTTCAGCAGAAACCTGGAGATACACTCTAACTCAACTGTCTACAGATTAATATATTTGAAATAGGGTTATGTCACCTCAAGAACAATCACTTAGTTTCTACAGGAGAAAAAGAAAAAAAACACCACATCTTGGACTTTATATTTGTTTTAATCTATTTGTATATTATTTATTTTTGTCACAGAGTTGAGGCGAGCAGCATCAAAAAGCAATGCAACTTGGGAGGCCTTGCAGTATTTTGTAACTCTTCTGCTTAAATAAAGCCTGACCACGCTACACCAGGATATGTATCCTACTAAATCTATCAGGTTAAGTCTAGATTTTTCAGTTTGACAAATTTAAACACAATGTATAAGTCATTTCAGACCATCTCCTTTGGAAAAAAAGGCTTCTCAGAACTCTGTTGTTGTTAAACATTTAAGAGTGAACACCCAGTGCTAATATATTCAACCCAACAAACTGATGACAGAAAAAAAAACCCATCTAAAATATTAAAAGCTAGGAAGTCCTTGAAAGGTTACATTTCATTAAGAAATCTAAAAGCAGCTGTTATTTTTAAGCTATGTATAGAGCATATCTAACTTCTTCCCTCTAATTCCTTTCACCATTTTGTTTCATACTCCTGTTTATTAAGGCCACTTTTTTTATTTAAAATTTTTAATTTGCAGTACTTTTTTATTTTTGTATGAAGACCATCAAGGAGAGCAACTCTTTCAGAATCTTTATTCTTCCTTGTAAAACTAAATAGAGGGGAAACTTAAAATATCTCCCCATCATCAAGAATCTGTGCCCTCTCCTCCTTTTTGAAAATTCAAGATGGTTTAATCTATGGCCCAATCTTTTTTTTTTCTAATCTTTCTATTAGTCATAGTCCGAGCTACATCAGAGGTGCACTGAATATCTTTCAAATAATCAAGTTCTCCACTCTCACACTGACTCCACAAGCCAGCAGAGTGACTTACTGACACTTCTACCCTCAGCATTATGGAAACATTTGCAGGGCTTTAAGTAATTTACCTTAACAAGCTTCAGCAGTGGCATTTTCCATTCTAAGACTTACCTTCCATCATCTTTATTTGCTATTTATCCAAGGAGCTGAGCACTAGGTACATATGGATAAGCCAGACTCCAAGCAAATTATGCTATCTCTGCCTAACACAGCACTGCCAGTTTTTCAGCCCTCTGTAGATCTACAGGTTTTACCAGTCTTCCCATGAGCGACATATTCTATCAAATATATTTATTATCCAAACACACACAATAAACTAAGGTTTAGAAACACTGTTAGAAACTGACAGTGTAGACTAAAATGTCATATGCTTATTGAAATCTGGAAGAAATATAACTTCCAAATCTTAAGGGAAAAGCATTTTCCACTGAACCATTAAACACTTACTTCAATGGGGGTAGATTCAGGTACTTCACGTAAAATCACAATACAGCGATTCTGATTTGGCCTAACTTTTTCTCCCTTCTCATCCACTTGGACTAAAGGCAATGCTAAGAGAGAAAAAACAAAAATGTATTTTAGCTGTCAGTAATCATAACAGCTTTGCACATCAAAAGATGCTGCAGACAGTTTTACAACACAAAGCTTTTTGTGCTAAACTTCAAGTATTTTTGAACATTAAGAAACAAGCAGAAGATGACTGAGGATGCTTTCAGACATATGAAACGGAATAGACATGTCCCTTGAAATCTCCACACTCTTCCTACTCTTCCAGCCTAGAAAATCACAATTCATTAGTTTTTTCTTCCAGGGCACACATTGAGTCATGCTCTTTTTTTGATTCTTATGTTAGGGGTAACGTCCAGTAGCCTTTTCTGAGAATTTAAACTCATGCTATTCTCATTTACACAGATCGTTACTCAATACCTCAAATATGAAGTAGCTTTGATAAAACTGCAGTCCTCTAATTGTGGTGATCTAAACTGGAAGCTGCTTGCTCTATTCAATGCTTTACAGAAAAAGGATGGCATTTTATTGCAACACATAACAAATACAAGGAAGAAAGATTGAAAATCCAGATTAATAGTCCTACAGCAATAACCAAAATGCTTTCTAGCATCGAGGGATTTTTACTTACATCTCAGCACTTCAACAATCAAATCCATATCAGTACTGAGTTTCTTGACGTGATCAAGGTTTGCTACTGTCATTATTGGCACATACTGATCACTGTCCATCTGTGATATAAGGTACATGTCACTGGCAAGATTTTCTCTGTTGAGAGACGGAAAAAATGGGGAAATGTCACAGATAACTTTTTCCAATAAACTTGAGACAAAAACTCATCCCACAGTAGAAGGCAGATTCCTACACTAAATTTTGTTTTCAGCATTTTCACCAACTCCTCAGACCACTCACCTAATATATTTCACTTCCTAGAGAACTTTGTCTTTTTCTTCCTTCGTGTAACAGTATTGGCATCTTCCTGTTCAGGCAGCACATCACCCCAAAAACATGTAATTCTGTTAGGAGTTTATTACTTCAAATGACCACTGCTGTAACTGGTTATGCGGGAGTATAGAGATTAGGAACTGTTCTAGGTTATTATGATGTGTTTAGGATGTTTTTATCTAGACACAAGCACTGAGAATAATTAAGTACAAGTAAACTGCTTTGATGATCTTTCATCGGTCTGTACTGGAACATATATGATTCAGAGCCCTTAATTTATTTTTCTTTTTTTTTTTTTTAAAATTGATCCTTAAAATATAAAGGGATCTACAGATCACTTACAAAAAAAATCCCAGTTTGTATCAACGCAAATTTTAAAATCAGTAGCTTAAACAAAGCTTACCAAATGGCTTAAAATACTGTTTTATTTTGGAGGAAAAAAAAAAGGCAGTAATGGTCATAAAAATTAACCCAATCTGTAATTGCTTGTAAATACTCTCATTTCAAAACAATATATTTGCTAATTTATGTTTTAGGCCCAGGCGTTTCATGTAAGCTTTAAGAGGTATATCAATATGATACTCTGGAATTATTACTTCCCCCAAATTCTCACCCTTTCCACTCAGTTTTAAGTGACAGGTGTTAAATATATTAACATACATCCCAAGTTCGGTACTGGATCTTGTTATACTCCAGTTCACTACATTTAGGTATATACATACCTAGATAAGCAGAATTCCAGTGTTTTCTTCAGTAATTCTCGTAAATCTTCCTGACCTTCTGGCTGCAACTGTTCGTTTCCACCTAATAATTAAAATACTAAGTTTAAAATTCAGTTGTTATATCACACAATGGATATTTTAAACAAGCCATCATGCCTCTTAAAGGCTACATAACTAGTAAAAATTTTCAAATTCAATAGATGTTCACTGTGTATTAGTTCATCACCCACTAAAATTGCACAGGAACACTTTTTAGGGCGGAAAAGAAAAAAACTTATCTGACTTCACTTGTTCTGTTCTCCAAATATCTAAAATTTGAAGCAGTTTTAGAAGAGCAGCTACAAACACATCTCAAAGTAAATACTGAACTGAGTTAGCTTGTATATCTGTCTTCCAGAGTTAGGAAACTAACCAGTCTTTAGCTGACTAAACCGTGACTAATACAGCTGACTAATACAGCAAGCAAGCAGTATAATGGAGACACTTCGTACTTCTGGCCTCGCTCTAAATTCCCAACACACTAATTCAGGAGAGAGAGTTTCAAAAACAGAGTTATGAAACATCAGCAGATATCCAATCAATTAACAACAGATGTACGATCAATTAGCAATCTCTTGGTTAAGAAGAAATTATTTTTTTTCTTATATGCAGAAGTTTTGAAATTATCACATGAAAACACTCATTTCACATTTATTTTAGTTTTATACCCAATATACTGCAGTCAGTTGAGGGTAAACTAATGGTGTCAGTGGGAGAACTGTTTAAAGATTAGTTTAGTGTGGCTTTTAGAGATTTACAAAACATCTAGTAACATGTTACATAAATCTAAATTAGTTTTTTAAATGGTATTTCACACCAACTATTACCCTCTATACCCTTCCCTTCTTCAGTAACCTTCATCCTTTTCTTCACCTTTCCTTAACCTTTCTTCTTCCTAAAGCAACTTCTAATTTCCTCACACCGTTTTGTCCTTCATGTGTTCTATTCTGCTGTAGGTAATGCCAACACCTGACAAACACACATATCATGTACTAACCACTACTTCCCTTCTCCACCGCCTCTTTCTTCCTTGCCCAAAAGCTAGCAAAGACAAAAATCATATGCATTTTTAAAAATAATAATTAAAAAAATAAAAATCAGACTTCAGAGTTAGGACCACCTACATTACTAGCCATCAAGTGGAACAGGTCCGACCTGCTGTTCAGCTGCTTTACACCACTATGTGACTCTTGTTAAAAGTTAACTATTTTGGGCACGTAAAGGACATGCTGAAAGGTTCTGACACCAAGCTAAGGAAAGGTACACTTCCTTTTTAGGGTGCCAGGCACCATTAACATAATTTTTGATTTGCCAGTTAGTTACCATTTATTATTCCCCAGTAGTACCCTTAAGTAGAAGAGTCTAAGAGAACTTTCAGCTTTCAACACAAGCAAGGATGATGCCACAGCTGTGTCTGATTTCAGCTGTCTTGATTCCCAGCTACTATGGATCTTATCCTGGTCATTTTAAATACAAGCTATAAAATCAGCTAGGCACAATGAACAAGGAGTAGACCTCTCACGAATTTCAAGAAACACCCAGCACAAATTCCTCTTTCCCATCCCTCATCTCGGTTCAAGTAGTAATCCTGCATGCATCTTGCAGACCTTCCATCCCTTTCAGTGAAATATAAGCATGGCTGCACCTCTTTGCTAGTTTCCAGAAGCTTCTTAAAACATGCCATCTAATATACACTACAGTTACTAACAGTTGCCCTGAAGAAAATAACAAAAGTTAATAAAAAAAGAACACAAAGAAGTCAGACGAATTTGTTGCTTATTTCAGCATTTTAAGTGCAAGAATGATCCTTAAACACATGGACACTACTACTTGAGACCCCAACTGTATGTGAATTTCACCTCAGTGCCTGATCCAACCACAAACATGCAGCTTAGACAGGTAGATATCGAAATGTAAACATCTACACTAGAGACACATTTCGAATAACATATCAGAAAACAATACTCAGCTATATCCAGAACCTATGATCAATTCTGTGGAGTATCGCATAAGGCCTACACTCAAACAGGAGAAGACTGGTTTTCAAATATGTCAAAGCCCACGGGCAAAAGAGACAGGATTTTCTGGGGTCTGTTTACAAAGCACGTACATCGAACAATGAAAGTGGCGCAGTTTGTTTGGTTTGGATTTTTTTTTTTCTTCTTTTCAATGGATGCTCACTGTTCAAATCAAAATGTTTTCTTTTTTTAAACCAAGTCTGAGCAAATATCAGCTTTCTCTTACCTGGCTGGGTGGTTTCATGCATAGACTCATACTCAGAATGATTGAGAGCCAAAGGGTTCATATCTGTCTGGTCTGACACTGAAACTGCTGGCGATGGCTCCTGCAGCTCTGTCAGCACTGCATTCTGATGCTTTTTGTCGCCATCACCATTGGCATCCAGTCCTGCAGCAGAGATGACACACACAGTCAAAAAGCATTCCTTTTAATCACAGTAACATCATAGCTAAAAGTAAATCTGAAGCAAAGCTGCTTACATATTTGCATTCTTTTTTTTTTTTAACAGGAAATTAACACTGAGAAAATTCTGCACTGAATTTTACCTTCTGCTTGAGCAACAGGTAGAAACTCTTTGCTCCTACCTTCTTTACAAGAATCTGGAGGTTGGTCAGATATTTCTTCCCACGTTTTATTCACGCTACCATCAGTGGCACCACTTGCTTCCAAGTGTAACATATGATTTCCCCACACCTTTGCATTAGGATTCAACTCAGAAACCTTGGTTGACTCCTACAAAAAATAAATTTCTTTGATTATATATTTTGTGGATGTACTGTGCATATATATGCAGAGTTTCAAATAACAGTATCAGATGTACAACTCAAGATTGTATTGTCAAGGTTTTTTTTTTTCACATCTGAATATATTAACTGAATTGCCATCCCATAATTATTTCATGTACAAAAATGACTGAATTTTGCAGCAGAGAATTCATTTCCCCAATTAAGAATCACCAGAAAAGGCCAGCCAAGCAGAGCAAACTACAACAAACATTTCACTCTTTGCCTTTGACAGACTAACTCAAACTACACTTGCCCTAGACTTCAGGCAATTCTCTGATATACATGTTAAATCCACATTGACTATATTGTTGTTGTGTCTGTTTCTGCAAAATAAACAAAAAGAATTAAGAGAATACAAAAGCACAGGGTTTTGTTTTTTCTGGACTTCCATAAACATGTAACGCTTTTCACAGAATCACAGAATCACAGA